TAATATAATGGCATTTCATTGTGATTTTATTTTGCATTTCTATAATTACTAATGAGATTAAAGTATCTTTTCACATACTTATTGGCCATTTGGATTGCTTCTGTGAACTGCCTGTTCAAGTCCCTTGGCCATTTTTCAATCATACTATCTTTTTATTTTACTGATTTGCTAGAGTCCTTTAAATGTTCTGAATCCAAGCCCTTTGTCAATTTTAAGCGTCATAATTATCTTCTCTCAGTTTGTGGCTTGCCTTTTCATGGTACCTTTTGGTGACTAAAAATTCCTTTTTCCTTTATGTCCTTTGCAAAAAATTCCCTTTATGTATTTCCAATTCCCTTTATGTCCTTTTAAAAAAATGAAGATGTTCTACTGCATACCTTCTAAAAGTTTAGTGTTTTGGCCTTCACATTTAAATCTACAATTCACGTATATGAAATCGTCATGTGTATACTTTAAATATCTTACCATTTTATTTATCAAGTATACCTTACTGAAGCTGAAAAAAAAAAACAACTACAGTTCACCTAGAACTGATTTTTGTGAAGAGCTAATTCTTTCAATTTCTCCATATGAACATCCAACTGTCCCAGTGTCACCTCTGTCATAAATCAAATGTCCATATATGTATGGATTTGTTTCTGGGATCTTCTTTCTCCTTTCCCTAAATATATTCTTCTCTTCAGTACTGCTTATTTAAGTTAAGGGTATCATCACTCATTAATCACCCAAACAGGAAATCTGGAGACAATCAGTTCTAATCCCTGATGATCTGATCTCATAAATTTTCCCATATTCATATATTTTCTCCATTTCTAATACTTCCTTACATCGTGACAATGGCCAGGGCCTCTTAACTGGTCTTCTAAATGCCAGCATATCTTTACTTTTGTACTCCCAAGCACCCTGGACATACATTTAGTATAGCCTTTAACAAGTTAGGTGAAACTTGACTGTTCCCTGTGGACACAGCTCTCCTTGCAGCTCTCTCAAGTAATGACTGTTTGCTTTCACACACCCCTTTGTATACCACTGGGCCGAATGAAATATGGGGTAGGTATCCTGCTAGCTCCTCATGTTTTCTTCCAGGCACTCTCCAGCCCTACTTCTCTCTCCTGAAATCAAGACTAATATATTGATTGGCCCATACCAGTGTCTAAAAGGCAGTTCAAACTTAATATATTTAAGGGTTCCAAGGATCAGAGGTCCTGGAATCAAATGATTGGTTTTCGGGGGATGAGGTTTCTAGATGGCACAAGGTAGAAAGACTGGGTTAGTGCTTGGAGAGCAGGAAGAATGAAACTAAAGTTATAGAGACAGGGTCTAAAGTATAGGTATGGGGCATATGTGACCAAGGAAGTACGGAGGAGAAGCTCACTGGAAGACAGGAGCTCAAAGAACTGACAGTCCTAAGAACTGAAAAGATCCTCAACATAAGTGTACTGAAACTATCAAGAATAACAGAGGAGTTAGAACTGAAGAGTAATAGTGAGGCAAGAACTAAGATATTTACAGCTGCAATGATGGGTAGTGAGTGATATAATTTAATGGCATAAGATTCAAAGTGTTAGGGCATTAGGAAGAAGAGAGGGAGAATAATGAAAAGACAAGGCCCAATGGTAGGAGGTCATGGAGACAGTAAGAGCTAACACTTCAGAGGGCTGCAGACAGTCAGTGTTCTAACCCTTCCCTTTTCCCCAGGATTTCATTAGAACAAGATTGATGGACTATGAATTCCAGAAGGTACATTGGAAGAGTTTCAAGAGTCAGAGAGGGATGAGAAAAAGGGTCAGAGCAGGGAATGTTCAGAGATTTATAGCAGCTAGGAGTATAGGAGACAGAAGGGGCAAATACCTGGGGGTTCCTGTGGTGACTGACAGGGATAAGGGATAATGAAATTAGCCCTAGTGGGTTCAAGACTGATAAGAGGTGAGGAGGCTGCAAGTGTTAGGGAGTAAAGAGGAGTGGATTACTGGGGATTGCTCTTGACCCTGGATGATAGGGGCTGAAGGCTTAAGGAAGACACACTTTTAGTCCCATTACACTAGTTTAAAATCAGATGATATGTAACAAACATCATATAAACATGCATGCCCACTGACCTGTTAATCTTATTCTGAAAATATGACTCAGCAAGTTCACGCCTACATATAATTTTTAGACAGTCTTTATACATATATACAGAAAGAACATAAGGAAGGATGTTTGTTGCAACATTGACCATAACAGTGAAAAATTGAAAACAATCTAAATGTCTGTGCTAGTTACCAATTTAATACCTCTCAACTCCAAATTCATCCTTTAATACCTGCTCTGCCACAGAGGAGAGAATTCCTTTAGGTACTTCCTTTATAGTGAACATAATATTAAACTTTCCCAGTAGAGGGTGCTGGAGGGACACTGTAGAAGGAAGAGGCTCTGGGTGCAGTCCCAGCAACTGCGCCTTCAGTCAGTAGTGTGGCTCAGTAGTGTGGCAGTGAGGACAGGCAGGGGTGCTCTGACCTAGTCACATGCTCGCAACCTGGCATCGCTGACCTGACCTGGTAATCACCTTTCCACAGCCCTCCCTGCAAGGACACTGTATGCCCCAGGCATGCCCACACTAGTGCCCTGACTCCCTCTGTTTGCCTGGTCCACCTCCCATGTTGTTCCTGAGGGATATAATATGCACTATGCCTCCCACTCTCTGTGCAGGCCTGGATACTGGCTGCCATGCTAGTGCTCCGGAGGGCTGCTTTGCTGATTGCTTAGCGGCTATGGACCAGCTCTGGCCTTCTTTCACTGTCATAGTTTATAATTCTATTCAACTTCACCTGTTTAAATCACTGTGTGGTTTCTGTCTCCTGATTAGGCCCAGACTAATATAATGTCCATCAATAAAAAAATTAATATGTAATTTTTGTACGGTTATATAATGGAATACTCTATAGGCAATAAAAATAAATGAACTAACTTCCCGTGTATGGTCTGGCACGTTAGGGGTTTAGAGGTTGCTGCTTCATTCTAACAAGTAAAAAGCTGAACAAATCAAACAAACAACTCTTCTCTTCTGTCAGAGAAGTGAAGTCCCAGGGCAAACCACTGCCCCTAAAATGAGAGAGAGAGACAGGCAGATACAGAGTATCACAACTTAACACAGCACAACCCCTGTTGGTTCCTCTCTGGGAACCAGTGCCAAGGTAGGAAAACCTGAACTGTAATTGCTGAGTTGCTAGAGGCTCAGCGTGCATAAATTTGAGAGTTAAAAACTCCCAGGGGATGCAGTCACAGAGGGGTCCCCACACTACTTTGAGTTTTACCTACAAGAGTCCTACCAGGTTCTCACAGTGAAGATCTGAGAAAAATCCCCTCAAGCTTCCAGCAGGGGAAGGGGTAAAGGAACCATTTCAAAATAGGCCAGAGCATTCTGTTCTTCTTACCAAGGTTGGTTCACAGGAGAAACTATTTTTACCAGAGCTTAGCCTTCTGAGGTTTGATCAGAGCCTAACCTACCTGGGAGAGGGGAAATACCTAACTCCAGCCATATCCTATCTAAGGTTGGGAGAGAACTAAGAAGCACTGGTGAAGTTCACAGTTCAAGGGCACACGCTCACCAAAAGACTGAGGACTACAGAACACTTCCCCTCTCCTGACACCTTACTATTACATTACTAAAGGCCTATTTATAGTGATTCCTTTAATTCCTTTTACATCAGGTTTGCTTTTCAACCAAAAATTACAAGGCACTCTAAAAGGCAAAAAACACAGTCTGAAGAGACTGAACAAGCATCAGAACCAGAGTCAGATATGATAGGAATGTGGGAATTATCAGAACAAGAATTTTTTTAAAACTATGATTAATATGCTAAGGGCTTTTTAAAAATAAATAAATAAATAAATAAATTTATTTGTTTTTGGCTGCATTGGGTCTTCATTGCTATGTGCAGGCTTTCTCTAGTTGTGGCGAGTGCGGGCCGCTCTTCGTTGCGGTGAGTGGGGGCTACTCTTTGTTGCAGTGCATGTGCTACTTCTCATTGCGGTGGCTTCTCTTGTTGTGAAGCACGGGCTCTAGGTGTGCGGGCTTCAGTAGCTGTGGCACGCGGGCTCAAGTGTTGTGGCTCGTGGGCTCTAGAGCTCAAGCTCAGTAGCTGTGGTACATGGGCTTAGTTGCTCTACAGCATGTGGGATCTTTCCAGACAAGGGATCAAACTCATGTTCCTTGCATTGGCAGGCGGATTCTTAACCACTATGCCACCAGGGAAGTCCTTATGCTAAGGGCTTTAATGGAAAAAGTAGACAACAAGAAGGACAGATGTCTAATATAATCAGAGAGATGGAAATTCTAAGAAAGAATCAGAAATGCTAGATGTCAAAAACACTGTAACAGAATTAAGAATGCCTTTGAAAGGCTCATTAGTGGAACTGACACAGTTGAGAAAAGAATCTCTGACCCTGAGGATATGATACTAGAAACTTCCAATACTAAAAAGCAAAGAGAAAAAAAAAAAGACTGAAATTAATAGAACAGAATATCCAAGAACTGTGGGACAACTACAAAAGGTGTAAGACTTGTGTAATGGAAATACCAGAGAAGAAACAGAAGAAATATTTGAAACAATAATGACTGAGAATTTCCCCAAATTAATGTCAGACACCGAACCACAGATCCAGGAAACTCAGAGAACACAAAGCAGGATTAAATGCCAAAAAAACTACACCTAGGCACATCATATTCAAACTTTGGAAAAATCAAAGATAATGAAAAAATCTTGAAAGAAACCAGAGGGTAAAAACATCTTACCTATAGAGGAGCAAAAGATAAGAATTATATCCTTCTTCTCAGACACCATGCAAACAAGAGAGTTGATAGGAAAAAAAACTCTACCAACCTAAAATTCTGTGCCCTGCAGTACTATCCTTCAAAAGTGAAGGAGAAACTAAGACTTTCTCAGACAATCAAAAATTGAGGGAATTTGTTGCCAGTAGACCTGCCTTACAAGGAATGTTGAAAGTTCTAAGGGAATTCCCTGAGGGTCCAGTGGTTAGGACTTGGCACTTTCATTGCCGAGGCCTGGGTTCAATCCCTGGTCAGGGAACTAAGATCCTGCAAGCTGCAGGGCATGGCCAAAAAAAAGTTCTAAGAGAAGTAAAATGATATAAGTCAGAAACTTGGATCTGTATAAAGGAATAGCATTAGAGAAGGAGTAAGTGAAGGTAAAATTAAAAATTTGATCTTTTATATTCTTCATTGATTTAACAGATAACAGTTTGTTCAAAATAATAATAGCAAAAATGTATTCAATTATGTATTCTTATGTATTTATATGCTTATGGATAAGTGAAATGAATGCCTTCAGTGATATAAAGGATTGGGGGGAGGAATTAGGATTATTTTGTTATTATAAGGAATTTACACCACCTGTGAAGCAGTATAATGTTTTTTAAAGTGGATTTGGATCAGTTGCAAATGTATATTGCAAACTCTAAAACAAACACACAAAGGAAAGGACAATACAGCTGATATGCTAACAAGGAGACAGTATGGAATCATCTAAAATTCTCCATTAAGACCACAAAAGAGTAGAAGACAAAAATAGGAACAATAGGAACAAAGACCACAGGCAACCAATGGAAAACAGTAGCAAATATGGTAGATACTAATCTAACTATATCAATAATCACCTTAAATATCTATGGTCTAAATTAAAAGATAGATTGTCACATAGATTTAAAACAAAAGCAAAAACAAGACCCAACTAAGTGTAGTTTACAAGGAAGTCATTTAAAATATAAAGACACATGTAAATTAAAAGCATGTGGATAAAAAAAGAGATATCATCCTAACACTAATCAAAAGAATGTGGAGGTAGGTACATTAATTTCAGACAGCAGACTTCAGAGGAATAAAAGTTATTGAGATAAAGAGGGGCATCATATAATGATAGAGGGGTCAGTATTCCAAGACATCATAATAATCCTTAATGTGTATGTGCCTAACAACAGAGCTTCAAAATACATTAGGCAAAAAACTGTTAGAGCTGCAAGGAGAAATAGATGAATCCACAACTGTAGTTGGAGACTTCAACATTCCTCTATCCCAAACTGAAAAATACAGCAGGTAGAAAATCAGTAAGGAGAGAGTTGAAGTCTATGGCATCATCAATCAACTAAATATAATTGACATCTATAGACTACTTCATCCAATAACAGTGGAATACACATTCTTCCCAATCTCATGGAACTTTCAACAATACAGACCACATTCTGGGCCATAAGACACACCTTAACAAATTTAAGAGAAAAGAATTCATACGCCTGCTTTCAGATCACAATGGAATTGAACTAGTAATCAGTAACAGAAAGACAACTGGGAAAACCCCAAAATACTTGGAGATTAAACAACACAGTTCAAAATAACATATGGGTCAAAGAAGAAATCTCAACAGAAATTTTAAAATATTTTTAACTAAATGCAAATGCAAATGCAACTTATCAAAATTTGTGGAATGGGCAATATAGGGGTGGGGGAGTGGGAGTGGGAGATATAAACTGCTGGGTGTAAGACATGCTACAAGGGGGACTTCCTTGGCAGTCCAGTGGTTAAGACTCTATGCTTCTGCTGCGGGGAGCACAGGTTCGATCCCTGGTTGGGGAACTAAGATACTGCATAGCCAAAAAAAAAAAAAAAGATAAGCTACAAGGATGTATTGTACAACATGGGAATATAGACAATATTTTATAGTAACTGTAAATGGAGTGTAACCTTTAAAAATTGAATATTAAGAAATTAAGGAAGATCTAAGATTAATCATCTAAGCCTTCACCTTAAGAAACCAGAAAAAGAGCAAATTAAATCTAACATAAGCAGATGAAAAGAAATAACCAATAGTAGAGCAGAAATCAATAAAATTGAAAACAGGAAATCAAAAGAGAAAATCAACAAAACCAAAAGCTGGTTCTTTGAAAAGATCAACAAAATGGACATGCCTCTAGCCAGGCTAACTAAGGGAAAAAAAGAGAGAAGACACACGTCACTACCATCAGAACAGATGCTGTATCACTACAGATTCCATGGGCATTAAAAGGATAATAAAGGAATATTATGAACAACTCTATGCCCACAAATTTGATACCCAGGTTAAATACATCAATTATTTTAAGACAAAATCTGCCAAATCTCACATAAATAGAAACAATCTGAATAGGCTTATATCTATGAAAGAAATTTAATCAATAATGAATAATCTTCCAAAACAGAAAGCACCAGGCCCAGACAGGTTCTCTTGTGAATTCTACCAAATATTCAAAAAGAAATTATACCAACTATCCAGAATCTCTTCCAGAAGACAGAAGTGGAGGGAATCCTTCCTAACTTATTCTATGAGGCCATTATCCTAACACCAAAACCAGGCAAAGACATTATAAGAAAACTACAGACCAGTATCTCTCATGAACATGGATACAAAATCCTTAACAAAATATTAGCAAATCCAATCCAACAATGCATAAAAGGAATTATACACCATAACTAAGTAGGATTTAATCCCAGGTATGCAAGGCTGGTTCAACATTTGAAAACCAATTAATGTAATCTATCATATCAACAGCTAAAGAAGCAAAATCAAATGATCATATCAACAGATGCAGAAAAAGCATTTGACAAAATCCAAAACACATTAAAGAAAAAAAAAACTTTCAATAAATCAGGAATAGAAGGGAAGTTCCTCAATCTGATAAAGAACATCTACAAAAAAACTAGAGCTAACATCATATTTAATGGTGAGAAACTTCAAGCTTTCCTGCCAAAATCAGGAAAATGGAATGTTTTCCATTACCATTGTTTTCCAACATCATACTGGAAGTTCCAGCTAATGCAACAAGATAAGAAAAGAAATTAAAAGGTATACAGATTGGGGAGGAAGGAGGTATAAACTGTCTTTGTTTGCAGATGACATGATGGCCTATGTAGAAAATCTGAAAAAAAAAAAAAAATCAACAAAAATCCTCTGAAACTCTTAAGTGATTATATCAAAGTTGCAGGATTCAAGGTTAATGTACAGAAGTCAACACTTTATACCATCAATGAACAAGTGGAATTTGAAATTAAAAACATTACCAATCACATTAGCACCCTAAAAATGAAATACTTAGGTATAAATCTAACAAATTATACATATACAAGATCTACATGAGGAAAACTTCAAAACTCTGATGAAAGATATCAAAGAAGAACTACATAAATGGAGAGAGATTCCATATTCATGGATAGGAAGACTCAATACTGTCAAGATGTCAGTTCTTCCCATTCGATCTATAGATTCGATGCAATCCCAAATCAAAATCTCAACAAATTATTCTGTGGATGGACAAACTGATTCTAAAGTTCATATGCAGAGGCAAAAGATCCAGAATAGCCAACTCAATACTGAAGAAGAAAACAGAGTTGTAAGACTGTTATTACCCAACTCAAGACTTACTATAAAGCTACAGTAATCAAAACTGTGTGGTATTAGAGAAAGAACAAATAGATTAATGGAACAGAACAGAAACAGAACAGAGAGCCAGAAACAGACCCACATCAGTTAAATATACTTAACTGATGTTTGACAAAGGAGCAAAAGTAATACAATAGAAAAAAGACAATCCTTCCAACAAATAGTGCTACAACGACTGTATAGCCACATGAAAAAAAAGAATAGACACAGACCTTCATAAAAATTATCTCAAAATGGACCACAGACCTAATCATGAAACACAAAACTATAAAACTCCTAGAATATAACATAGGACTAAACCTTGATGACCTTTGGCAGGACAATGACATTTCAGATGCACAATCCATGAAAGAAATAATTGATAAGTTGGTCTACATTAAAATGAAAAACTTCTGCTCTGCAAAAGAGAATGAGAAAACAAGCCACAGGCTAGGGGAAATACTTGCAAGAGACATCTGATAAAGGACTGTTATCCAAAAATACACAAAAAAACCACTTAAAACTCAACAATAAGAAAACAAACAACCTGATTAAAAAACAAGCAAAAGATCTGTACACTTCATCATGAAGATATACAGATGGGAAGTAAGCATATAGAAAGATGTTCAATACCATATGTCACTAGGGATATGCAAATGGCAACAATAAGATACCACTGCAAAACTGTTAGAATGGCCAAATTATAAAACACTGACACCACCAAAAGTTGGAAAGTATGTGGAGCAACAGAAACTCTCATTTGTTGCTGGTGGGAATGCCAAAATAGTTCAGACATTTTGGAAGACAATTTGGCAGTTTCTTATAAAACTACCCTTAACCATACAATCCAGTAATCACCCTCCTTGGTATTTAATCAAATGAATTGAAAATTTATGTCCACATAAAAACTTGCACACAGATGTTTATAGTAGCTTTATTCATAACTGCCAAAACTTGGAAGTCACCAAGATGTGCTTCAGTAGGTCAGTGAGTAAGTAAACTGGTATATCCAGACAATGGAATATTATTCAGCACTAAAAAGAAATGAGCTATCAAGCCATGATAAGACATGGAGGAAAGTTAAATGTATATTATTAAGTGAAATAAGCCAATCTGAAAAGGCTACGTACTGTATGATTCTAACTATATGACATTTTGGAAAAGGCAAAACTATGGAGACAGTGAAAAGACTAGTGGATGTCAGGGGTTGGGGGAGGGACTGATGAATAGGACATAGGGGATTTTTAGGGCAGTAAAACTACTCTGTATGATACTACAATGATAGATACATGTCATAACACATTTGTCAAAACCCATATAATGTACACCAAGAGTGAATCCTAATGTAAACTATGGGTTCTGGGTAATAATGATGTGTCAACGTAGGTTCATCAGTTGTAACAAATGTGCCACTCTGGTGCTGGATACTGATAGTGGGGAGGTTGTACATGTGTGGGGACAGGTATATGGGAACTCTGTACTCTCTTCTCAATTTTGCAGTGAATCTAAAACTGCTCTAAAAAACAGTTTATTAATTAAAAGAAAAAAACAATAAACTAGGAAGGTTCCATTTCCAGAATGGCTAAGTAAATGCCTACTGAATTGACCTTACTGTAGTTATA